TTCTCCCACTCTGTGGGTGGTCTCTTCAGTTTAGAGACCATTTCTTTTGTTGTGCAAAAGTTTTTTAATTTCATGTAGTCCCATTTGTCCATCCTTACTCTTTGCTGAGCTGCAGGGGTTCTATTGAGGAAGTCCTTGCCTATACCTATTGCTTCCAGAGTATTCCCTGCTCTCTTCTCTACTAGCTTCAGAATTTCGGGTCTGATATTAAGGTCTTTGATCCATTTTGAGTTGATACTAGTACAGGGTGATAAACGTGGATCTAGTTTCAGTTTCTTGCAGACGGTTAACCACTTTTCCCAGCAACATTTGTTGAAGAGGCTGTCTTTTCTCCATCGCATGTTTTTGGCACCTTTGTCAAAAATGAGGTGGGTATAGTTGTGTGGATTCATATCTAGGTCCTCTATTCTGTTCCACTGGTCTTCATGTCTGTTTTTGTGCCAGTACCATGCTGTCTTTATTGCAATTGCTTTGTAATATAGTTTGAAGTTGGGTATTGTGATACCTCCAGCATTGTTTTTATTGCCTTGGCTATTCGCAGTCTCTTGTGTTTCCAAATGAACTTTAGGGTAGATTTTTCAATCTCTATGATGAATGTCATTGGGATTTTGATGGGAATTGCATTAAACATGTACATGGCTTTTGGTAGTATAGCCATTTTTACTATGTTGATTCTACCAATCCATTAACATGGAAGATCTTTCCTCCTTCTGTAGTTTTCCTCTGTCTCTTTCTTCAGAGATTTGTAGTTCTCCTTGTAGAGGTCATTCACATCATTTGTTAAGTTTACTCCTAGGTATTTGATTTTTTTTGAGGCTATTGTAAATGGAATTGTTTTCATATATTCTTTCTCAGTTTGTTCATTATTGGTGTATAGAAAAGCTAATGATTCTGTAAGTTGATTTTGTATCCTGCCACATTGCTGAAGCTGTTTATGGTGTCTAGGAGTTTTTGGGTAGTTTTTTGGATTTCTGAGGTATAGAATCATGTCATCTGCAAACAGTTTCTTTACCTATTTGTATTCCTTTTATTTCTTCTTCTTACCTAATTGCTCGGGCTAGGAATTCCAGTACTATGTTGAATAGGAATGGGGATAGTGGGCACCCTTGTTTCCTTCCTGATTTTAGAGTATATGGTTTCAGTTTTTCTCCACTAAGTATGATGTTGCCTATAGGCTTGTCGTCTGTAGCCTTTATAATGCTGAGGTACATTTCTTCTATTCCTAGTTTTCTTAGCACTTTTATGATGAAGTGGTGTTAAATCTTATCAAAGGCTTTTTCTGCATCTATTGAGATGATCAAGTGGTTTTTGTCTTTGCGTCTATTGATGTGCTGTATTACATTTATAGATTTGCATATGTTGAATCACCTCTGCATCCCTGGGAAGAAGCCGACTTGGTCGTAGTGTATGATCTTTCTGATGTGTTGTTGGACTCGGTTTGCCATTATTTTATTAAAGATTTTTGCATCAATATTCATTAAGGAAATTGGCCTGTAGTTCTCCTTTTTGGAGGTGTCTTTGTCTGGTTTTGGGATGAGAGTTATATTGGCTTCATAAAATGAGTTAGGCAGTGTTCCTTCCTTTTCTATTTCATGTAATAGCTTAAGGAGAGTTGGTATTAGTTCTTCTTTAAAGGTCTGATAGAATTCAGCAGAGAATCCATCAGGTCCTGGACTTTTCTTTTTGGGGAAGACTCTTGATTGCTGCTTCAATTTCTTTTTGTGTTATAGATCTATTCAGGTGGCTAATATCTTCTTGGTTTAGTTTTGGGTGGTTATAAGTTTCTAGAAATCTGTCCATTTCTTCAAGATTTTCAAATTTGTTAGGCTCTCGAGGTAGTCTCTGATGATTTCCTGGATTTCCGTGGTGTTTGTTGTTATCTCCCTGCTCCATCTATTTTGAATGATAATTTTGCTAGGTAGAGTATACTAGGGTTGAAGTTATTTTCAATCAGTCCCTGGAATATCTCACTCCATGCCCTTCTTGCTTTTAAGGTTTCTGTTGAGAAATCTGCTGTGATTTTGATGGGTTTACCTTTGTATGTTATTTGTTTTTTCTTTATTACTGCCTTCAATATTCTTTCTCTGTTCTCTATGCTTGTTGTTTTAATGATTATATGTTGTGGTAAAGTTCTATTTTGGTCAAGTCTGTTTGGTGTCCTGCAGGCTTCCTGTACCTGAATGGGCATAGTTTTCTCTAGATTTGGGAAATTTTCTGTTATTATTTTGTTGAATATATTACGAATTCTTTTGCTTGCACCTCTTCTCCTTCTTCAATGCCCATGATTATCAGGTTTGGTCTTTTGATAGAGTCGTTGAGTTCTTGCATATTCCTTTCATAGGTCTTGAGTTTGACTAATAGTCAAACTTTAATTTCTATTTTATCTTCAAGTTCTGAGATTCTGTCTTCCTCTTGTTCTAGACCACTGGAGTGGCCTTCCACTGTGCTTTGTGTTTCTGTTTCATTATTTTTTCTGAGGTTTTCCATGTCATGGGTCACTTCATCTTTAATATTATCTATTTTCATCTTTAATTCATTTATCTATTTATGGTGTTCTCTGTTTCACTTTGGTATTTATTTAGTGCTCCTATGAGTTCCTTTGTTTCTGTGTCTTCTCCTATTCTTTATTTTTGTTGTCTTGAAATTTCTTGAATGCATCTTGTACATCTTGGTTAACTATGTCTAGTATCATCTCCATGAAATTCTCAGTATTACTTGCAGGATTTCTTCTTTGAGGATGTTTCTGTGGACATCGTTGGGTTCCTTGGTGTCATTTATCTTTGTTTTGTTGGAGTCCGGAACTGGGTATCCGTTTTCTTCATGTCCCTCTGAATCCTGTTTGGTCTGTAGTATGTCTCGCAAGCAGGTTTGGAGCCAGCAGTGGCAGCTGCAGCAGTTGCGGCAGCCCTGAAGTTTTCTCAGCATAACATGTTGTGGGGAAGCCTTCCATGGGCTAGGGTTAAGGGTGTTGAAGGTTTGATTCTGGTTTTGCTTTACTTCAGACAAGTCATGATAAATATTTTGAAATCAAGTCACAATATCATGCTATGTAATTTTCATGTCTAACAGAAAACCTTTCATCTTTTGTTTTGTTTGTACTCATCCATTCTTTTCATAGGCTTTTGTTAATAAAGGCCATTCTTCAAACAATGCTAGTCAGCACCATGTACTTATGAACAGAAATTCTAATACTAAAAAGTTAAATACAAAATATTTTCTTTCTATTCTAAAATAGAAATGTTTCTTCCTTTCTAGATTATTACAGTAAGAACCAATGAATCATGCCTTCAAGTATCCATGTCCTTTGAGTCTCCTCCCACAATGGCTCTGTGGTTGGCTGTGTGACTTGTTTGGACCAATGAAACATTAGCAAATGTAATGTAAAGGTATCAAAGGTGCCAACATATTGGACCTTGCCCTTTTTCTCATTGCTTTCAAAATGTAGCAGCTGCCAACAAATTGAAGGACAGACTGCAGGAGGTCCTAGAAGGTGATAATTGGCCAAGGAGACACTTCTCCTTCCCGGGAAACTTTTGTTTGCACCTGAGAGACATCTCCACCCTCAGGTAATACAAAAGGGCTATAAAAACCCAATTTCCAACCTGAACCATGGGACCATCGGTTTCCAGGTCCCCCAGAATTCCCCATTCTGCCTTTCTCTTCTCTTTTCTACAAATAAAATCTTTCCAACCTCTGCTGCTGGAGTCTGCCTGTGCTTTCATTCTCAGAGTGGACCCAAGAACCCTGAACACCTGAAAATTCCTGCGTGTCTTCTGTGCATATTTGGCAATGTACGAAGGGGCAATTCTTCACATGAGGTTGGTACAGGTTGTGCCAAACTGGAGGAGACTGCCTAGGAAGTGACTGTGATTGTCCAGCACTCTGATGGAGTCTGTCTTCCAGGAGAGCCCCCTCCTACCATGGCTTAGCTACTGTGGACCTCTTGGGCCAACTTTCTCTCCATCTCTCTCTTGTTAAGGAGGGTGTCTCCCTTGGGAACCCGAGGAAAAACTCTGAGCCCATTATACCTGTAAGGCAGGCAACCCGGAAAATCGGGGGCCAGTCAGGGGCTTATACCAGACTGCCAATGCTATGTGGGCAGAGCTGAACTCCAGTGCACTGAGAGTTTTTTTTCCTCTCAACCTTCAGCTTCCTCCCTCCTTAAACTCTCTCTCCCTTTTAAGATCTGACCCGCTTAGGAGATCTGAAAACAGCTGGTGGAAAGGAAAGTTTCTCTTCAAGCTATAAGGATGCTCTGGCCAGGGCAATTCCCTAGTGACACCTGAAGGATGGAGATGCAACGTCCTGACCTGCCCTGAGGCTCCAAAGGTGGCTAAGTCTCGGACCCCTCCAGCCATGTCCATGGCAAAAGACAATCAGATCTCTACACTTCCTTCATAGTTGCCATGGCCCAAGAGTGGAGGTCACCCCTTGCTTCCAGTGCTCCAGTACTGCCTCTGGCAGGATTGACCTGGATAGCAGTGATGACCAATAACCCCTTGTGCACTGAACCTGGAAATTCTCTTTTCCCACAATCCTCAGATTCTCCTTCCTCTTTCCTTTTAGATCAGGATGAATGATTCCCTCCCCCATTTGTTTTAAACAACAGTGGTCTTTCTTCTTTAGCCAAGTCTGGGAGAGATCCCTGAACCCCCTGTGACAGACACCAGAAAGTGCTACTCTCTAACTCAGGCTTAACTGTCTTTGTCAAGCATCTGGTTGATTTGGTTAAGAAGGTTCCACAGTCTGCCCTCAGGTGAAAAAAAAAAAGAGTTAAAGGGACAGAGACCTCAAAGGTCTTCTGGTTCAGCAGGTTCTGTAGTCTACTCTCAGGGAAAAAAACAGTTAAATGGAAGACCTCAATGGTCTTCTCCATTTTTTTTTTCCCTTACCACCACCACCACCACAACAACAACAAAAAAAAATGCCTTCAGACGCTCCCTCTCTTTTTATAGAAAAAATATATTTCTCATAAGCTATATAGGGGAACAAAAGCTTACCTCTTCAAGAGTCCCCATCCATGCCTCTGCAGGAGTCCTCCCTCTGTCCAAAGTAACTCTCTTGGTTACTTTGATAAAGTTGTTTTTAAATTACAAGCACCTGGTAGAGAAGAACCAGGTATCTGGGTTTCAAGGCAAACAAGCAAAGCAAAACAGACAAAAAAAAATTGATCATGGTTACTCTGGCAGAGTGGCTGCAGCAGGACATACCTAAATGTCTTCCCCACGACCTTAGCCACAGGTGACAGGGGCAGGAGAGCATGGGAGAAAGGGCACCCTCTCCCATGTAGAGTTTCTCCTCATCTGGGAATGCCTAGGTAAAAGGAGAAAACCTCTATTAAGGTGATCAATTTTCCCATGCTTCCCTTTTTAGATGGGGAATCAAGCTTCAAGGATCCTGGAAGGATCCGCCCTTGCCTCCTTACCAAAATGTTAATTTTAATGAAAGCAACTCAAGTTTTACTGCACCCAGGCCTGGCCACAGTATCCTCTGGGAGATGGGAAAAATGGCCAGAAGGAGGGAGCATTAATTATAATACCATTCTTCAATTAGGTATGTTGTGTAAAAAGGAGGGAGAGTGGACTGAAGTCCCATATATTCAACTTTTCTTTTTCCTAAGAGACCACCCAAAATGGCTGAGCAAATGTAGGGTAGATACCCAGACCATGGTGACCCTTTACAAAAAGCCCTCAAACTCCCTTGAGGAACCAGAACCAAAAAACCATCTGATGCCCCATCAGCTCCCCCTCTACCTTCTTACCCAGCTAACTTGCACCCCCAACATCATCCCACAGGATTCTACCCCCTCCAGTTAATTCCTGGAGTGGATAGGGCTCACGTTCCTTTTACATTAAATGAACTTAAAGAAATAAAAAGGATTTAAGAAATTACACAGAAAACCCAGGTCAGCACATCCAGGCATTCAGAGAAGTCAGCCAAAACTTTGAACTGAGCTGGAAAGATATAATGCTATTGTTATCTCAGACCCTAACTTCTGTGAAGAAGCTGCAGCTGGGGATGATTATCAGTTAGATAAATGTGGCCCTCCAGGCTTATCTTAGACTGGGCCCTCACAGCAGGAGGATGGGGAGGAGAAGAAAGACAAAGATGCTGGATACCTAAAAGGGAACCCCAATTCACAATTCTAACAGCAGATCAGGCAGTGCCTAGATGTGATCCTAAGTGGGACCCTGAAAATGACAAGGATGAATGGACCTGTAACCATTGCATTCACTGCGTTCTTGCAGGTCTAAGAAGAGCCAAGATAAAAACCCCTTAATTACTCCCAAGTCACAGCTGTACAGCGAGGACCCTTAGAAACTCTAGTAGCTCTCCTACAGAGACTTAATGCTGCTTTACAAAAACATACCAACATTGTACCAGAGTCACAGGAGGAGGAGACTGTCCTAAAAAATAAACTTCTAACACAGTCAGCCCCAAATATCTGTAGGAAGCTTCAAAAACTTGTGGCTGAAGGGAGCAGAGATTTAGACCAATTGGTCCATACAACCACATCCATATACTATAATAGGTACTTAAAAAAAGAAAAGAAGGACCTGGAAAGGGAAAAGTGAACAGATAAATGGCAGGAGGCTCTGACTGCAGCACTCAGAGAGGCTCCCCTAGGGCAGAGTCCAAACCCAAGGATAAGATTTCAATGTGGACAGGCAGGCCACTTTAGGAGGGAGTGCTCCCAGAGGAAGCTACCTCCGGGACCTCGCCCCATTTGTCGGGGAAATCATTGAAAGGCACACTGTCTCCTGGGAACTGAGGCCAGAGCCTCCCACCCAATGATGGGTCCTGGAGCCTTCCCATCCAGGCTCCTGTAACCACCATAAAAGCAGAGGAGCCCCGGGCAATACTTACTATTGAAAAGCACAAGCTCAGCCTCCTTATCGATACTGGAGCCAGCATTTCAGCTATTTCTTTCACTCGCGGACCCAGGTCCTCCAAGAAAATTACTGTTTGGGGCATATCAAACCAGCCCCTGGAGCATTATTTCACTCAGCCTCTAGCCTGCTCCTGGTGATATTTCCACTTCTTTCACTTCTTTTTAATTGTCCCAGAAACCGTACTCTGCTGGGCAAGACCTTCTATCTAAATTGGGGTACAGCTCTTTTTACCCCCAGAAGAGTACTTTTGCTTGCCCCTGACAGAGGAACAAGTAGACCCCACAATGTGTATGGACAGACATACCGTGGGATAGGCATGAACAGTGGTCCCAGTCCTAATTCATCTCAAGGACCCCTCTTGGTTCCCCATCAAAAACAATATCCTTTAAGACCAGAAGTTAAAGAGGGACTAATTCCCATAATCAAAGACTTAAAAAGACAGGGACTATTAATAGACTGCTCCATCCCATATAATACTCCTATTCTCAATGTCAGAAAGGGACCGAAAGGGACCGAACAAATGGAGGCTAGTCCAAGATCTCTGCCTGACCAATGACGCAGTAGTGCCTCTACCCTGTAGTTCCAAATCCCTGTATGGTTTTAGCACAAATACCTCCAGGTACTGCTTACTACTCTGTCCTGGACTTAAAGGATGCCTTCTTTTGCATTCCCTTACATCCTAAAACTCAACCTATCTTTGCCTTTGAGGACCCCACATGAAAGTCTGGACTGGTTACCTGGACTGTCCTCCCCCAGGGACTCAGAGACAGCCCCTATCTCTTCAGGTTAACTCTAACCCAAGACTAGGCAGAGTGGCAATATCCACAAGCTGCTCTGCTACAAGAGGAGATGACCTCCTCCTCTGTGGACCAACTGAGTCTGTCATTTCACAAGCCACTGAATCCTTATTAAACTTTCTAGTAGTTAGAGGACATAAAATCTCTAAAGAAAAAGCCTAACTGTGTCAGTCTAGGGTTACATATATAGGTCTTATCCTAGAGAAGGAAATGAGAGCTCTAGGAGAAGATAGAATCTGATCCTGATGTTTCCTCTACCTAAGATTCTAAAACAATTGAGGGCCTTTTAGGAGATGACAGGATACTGTACAATTTGGATCCTCACATTTGTAGACCTAGCCAGACCCTTATACCAAATCCTTACGGAAGCACAGAAGGATCCCCAGCCCTTTATTGAATGGGATGACAAGTCAGAAAATAAATTCCACCAGTTAAAAGAGGCCCTTATGACAGCTCCAGCCCTGGGTCTCCCGGTACAGGACAAGTTTCAATTATATGTCTGTGAAAAGGGAGGACTGGCCTTGGGAGTGGTGACTCAGCTCCAGGGCACCACTCCCCAGCCAGTAGGCTACTTAAGTAAAGAGTTAGATCAGGTAGCCAAAGGATGTCCAGAATGTCTTTTAGCAGTTGCTGCAGTTAGCCTTCTAGTGCCTGAAGCTCAAATACTTATCCTAAACCGGACCCTGACACTTTACATCCCACATGACCTAGGGGGAGTTTTAAACTCAAAGGGAGAACTTTGGCTATCTTAACAGCTGTCTACTTAAATGCCAGGCCCAGCTTCTGGGAGGGACAGAAATAACTTTAAGGACCTGTCAGAGCCTAAACCCTGCACCCTTTCTAACAGAGGCAGAGGGAAATCTAGAACACTCATGTGAAGAGGTACTTATGAAGAATTATGCTGCCCAACCTGACTTAACTAATTGGCCCTTAAAGAGCCCAGATCTAGAATTATACACTGATGGCAGTTCCTTTGTCAAGAATAGTGTCAGACATGCAGGGTTTGCAGTTGTGACAGAATTTGGCATCCTCAAATCAGGTCCTCTTCCTCCTAATACAAGTGCTTAATTGGCAGAATTAGTCGCTGTAACAGAAGCCCTAAAACTGTCAAAAGAACAGAGTCAACATCTACACAGATTCTAAGTATACCTTCCTGATCCTGCATGCTCATGCAGCCATCTGGAAGGAAAGGGGAATGCTAACTACAACAGGAATAACTTCCCATATAGATAAAAGGAAGATTACTCTAATAATTTTAGGGATAACAGCATTGACTGCAGCCCTAGCTAGAATCAGCTAGGGGGTAATTGCCAATCATGCAAAAAACCTAACCAAAGTAGTAGAGGGCACCTCAGACTAGGCAAGCCATGCCATTAAAGACATGTAAAGGTCTTTGTTACCCCTTGCCTGTATGGTCATGGACCACTGCCTGGCCCTAGATTTTCTTTTGGCTACACCAGGAGGAGTATGTGCCATCACAACACAGGAGTATGTACTTCCCATTACACAGATATAAACCCTTCAGGTGTTGTACAGGAACGTGCAGACTACATTCTCCAACAGGCTAAGTGGCTCCAGGAACAGTCTCTTGAAACTCAGGTTTCTACACAGTTATGAGACCAAATAAAATCTTGGCTCCCCTCCAGGACATGGTTCCTACCCTTTTGGGGCCTATATTTGCCATTATTCTCTTCCTTGTGTTTGGGCCTTGCATTTTAAACTTACTTGTTAAGTTTGTTTCCTCCAGCCTAGAATCCCCTGATGGAGATGAAAACGTGGTCCCCTGTAACTCCTCTTTAACAGTCAGCCCCGATGCTGTGGGCCCTTTCATCACCTTATCAGCAGGAAGAAGTCACTGAATAGATGTGGGGAGCCAACAAGTGTATTAAATAAACTGTGTTTGAGTTTGGCACAGCCCCAAACTGCAGAAAGGAGCAAGTATAGTTATGCCCAGTAATTTGCATGCTTGAATTGGCACAACCTCAGCTGCAGAAGTGGGCAAGATGCAGTACAGCTGTTTTTTCCTTTAATGTTTAAGTGCAGAGAAGCTGTCACAGGTTCCTCCTGTTCCTGATCAGTACAATGTCACGCCCCGTCCCCAAGATCTTCCTCTGTACCTGGTGTTGCCCCTGTATATAATAAATGCACTGGAGGTGGAGGGTGCTGGTTGTGTCTCCATCCGAGCACTCAGCCTACCTGGTCCAAGCTTTATGCATGTTTTGTCTTCTGTCTGTTGTCTTTTCTGGCATCTCCCATCGCCCCCAGTTAAGGTTTCTAGGACAAGCTCATGCTGGAGGCAAGAAATAGTCTTCTTCCTCATCCCTATGCCTAACAGCAGTTAGGGCAATCATTGAGAGGGGAGAATTGAAGGACAGACTGCAGGAGGTCCTAAAAGGTGATAATTGGCCAAGGAGACACTTCTTCCCAGGAAACTTCTGTTTGCACCTGAGAGATATCTCTGCCCTCAGGCAATACAAAAAAGGCTATAAAAACCCAATTTTCAACCTGACCCACAGGACCACTGGTTTCTAGGTCCCACTGCATGCCCACATGCAGCCTTTCTCTTCTCTACAAATAAAATCTTTCTGACCGCTGCTGCTGGAGTCCACCTGTGCTTTCTTTCTCAGAGTGGACCCAAGAACACTGAAAACCTGAAAATTCCTGCATGTCTTCTGTGCATCAAAATGTATGAGAAAATTTTAGACAACAATCAAACAACAGGAACAA